TGGAAAAAGGTGTACCAAGAAGACAACAGGGAATTTCCTTCAGAGCCAAGAAGAAAGTTCACTAAACTAATTTGCTCACTCAAAAGAAGTTTGAAAATACCTCAAATATTGCAATTCACTACTGAAAAGACATATAGTTCTCACATACTTGGTGACGCTGCTTCTACTCTACTGATGGAAAGGAAAGGGAATACATGTGAACAACGAGAACTAATTCATTATGCTATCCCATCTAAGTATGAAACGACACACTGGTACAAAAATATTTATCTTGGCCTAAGTATTCTGTGCTTTAGCAAAGTCAGCAGTAAAGAAACCTGAAACATTCATAAGACATAAAAAACTAAACAGAAAGAATTTTAATAAACTTAAGAACAACAATGAAAAAAAACCCTAGCTCTGTAGCCACACCCAAAAAGCACAGCAAAACAAAGAGAGGCTTTTTATCAAAGTATCGCAAATACAGGAGACAAGCTCCTTGGAATGAAATTTCAAATTATGCTTCAGGAACTATATTAGAATAACATCTATGTTCTGTAGAAGTCAGTAAAAAGGCTGACAGAAAAGAACAGTCACCATTCTCCTCCTTCCTCTGTCTCTAAGTCAGATCTGCAGATACAAGTGCTCTCTCTCTCTACAGTGTTTTTTTCAGCTCTGGAAGGACCCTGTGTACACAGCCCAGGTTCCATCTGGGAAACTGCACACATTCTCTGTCAGCATGCTCAGAGACCAAACCCACTACAGAGAGCGTGGCCCAAGCATCCTGGTTTGGTACTGCTTCTGCTAAGCAATGGGAAACTAAAACATTGTCAATACTTTATATTTGTCCTTTCATGACTGTCAGCTGCCCTGAAATCATACAGAGAATTTACTGGTAGTTGTGCAGGGATGAAACAGCTACTAGGAATAAAGCAGAATGTCTTGACAGTACATCATCAGAACCACTAAAACCAGAGGTCCTTAGCAAAGCTCACAGTCTTCTGAAAAGCTCTGGAAACCAATCACATTATATAAAAACTATCCCTATTATCACCCATAAACACCTGCTTATGGCAAACTTGCAGAGAGAAAAATGTTTACATTAACCTCCTTTAAACTCTCAACACTCCAAAGTCCACCAGATTAGGGATAATTGCTTAAGACAACTAATGAAACTCAAGACTCAGAATCTTTGTTTTGGTGCTCCCCTGCTTTGTAATGCTACGTGCTGTCCAAGATTAACAGAAGTGCTATTCAGAACTCAACACCATGCATGCCAGTGAAACATCATGCTAATAATGGAACAAAAATAAGTGGTATTTTGTCACTACAATTATCCATCCAGAAGCAATTGTTCCACATAGTTTGAGGAATGGTGTTTACCGACAAGACAGAATTTCTTCTGAACGTCCTGTTACCATAAAGTAAGCTAATGTAGTAATTAATTAATAATAACTGTGTATTTTAATGGTGTATATATTAACAGCATTATATTCCCTGACATCTGCAACAGATATGCAATGCTTAAGAAGTATCATTTTGTAGTGGTACATACAGAATGTTTTCATTCTAAACTAGAATGAAATAACAGCTAGTTCCATTAAAATATTTATATTTCTAACTTAGTGTGCTGAATGAGACAAAATTGCTTGCAATATAAAATACTGTCTTTGCTCAGAAAGTCTCTCAGTATGTAGGATTTTTATGATAATGAAAGTCCCACTTAAGGAAAAAAATCAATTTCAAGTCCTGCAATTTAGCCAAAGCCATCCCAGAAGACCACTCCACCAAAGTTTCAAAGCTCAGGCCTGTTTAACTTTTGTCTCTCCTTTGGAACACTGTTCACCAATGGCAGCTCCCCCAGCCTTCCACTTCATATACTAAGCAAAACCACATTGTTATACATAAAGTTTCTTTGGGCAGGAAAGAAAAGCCCTCTCATAACTGTAAATGCAATCCTCTAAAATACAGCACTGAACATGACACAGCACATTTTGAAAAAAAACTTACTAATAAACTGATGACACAAAGAAAGTGCTGTACAATCAGCTGCAGAAAAACTTTGCATAAACAACCTTACAGTAGTCATTTGTTCTCCTCTCAAAGACCACTTTACTGTATTTCACAATGCTTTTTCTTTTACTAGTTTTTCTACAGAAGTCTGCTATATATTCTGATTTGACATGGCTGCCCATGTAAAAAAATTAAACTACTTAATAACAGTTGAAGTTTACAGAAAAAACATTAAAGTTAAAAAATGAAAAAACTCGGCTGCTTTCAACTTGAGATAGATTATTTTGTTAATGAAATTTTGTGAAATATTTAAGTTCATGTGACTTGTAAATTCAAAATTATTATGGAGGTCAGAGAGGAAACATAAACTATGCAAAAGTATGCAGATCCCCCTCAACTTCAGTACACCTTAACATTTACTCCAAGGCATTAGGAAAGTAGGCAGCGTGTACAAAAAAATCTATAAATTTTTGTGCATATTACATTGAATTCAAGCCATTAAAATAATATACAAAAAGAAAAACAACTTATTTCAGATGTTGGAAAAGTACAATAAATAGACTGATATTGGTCAATCATGGTGATTTCAGCCACCTCTTTTTAATCAGTTTTCAAAGTGGAAAAACTTTTCATGGCACATCTGTACCTCTCTGTGTTTTAAACTAGAGTTTCAGCAATATATCTGCAAAAACAGAAGTGATTGTTAAAGAGATTGTGGCTCAGTAACTCAGCAAGAAATTGAATAATGGCTTTGAATTGCTAAAGTCTTTCACTGGATTGATGAAGTTCCTGCAGCCCACAGCTGCAGCAAGCTGGCAGTAATAAATTCTCCACGCACTGCAAACTGAGTATCTGACCATTTCATCCATTTCTAAGTATATGAAAGCTGGAGGCAAAGACATTTTACAACTGAATAAATACTTGCTTCTTTCCTTATGTCCTCTAACAGAGGTACTAGTGTAAGGCCAAACAAGAATAGAACTCCCTGGAGATGGCTGCTGTGAGAAACGTCATAGCATTTCCTCAAGAAATTTCAAAACAATAGCTTAAGGGCAACTTTTTCCATTAGAAATCAAATTATTTTGAAAGAGTCGATATTTATAATAAAGGCCACAGTACAACAGATGAAATGAATTACTGATTTTTCAATACAAATATACAATACTTAAGTTCAAAATACTTTCCAAAATTTCACATTCATTATCTGCAAAGACAAACAAAACTCGAGGTGTTTTTTTTTCTTGTTATGCCAAGTAAATACATCCTTATGCTAATATAATGTGGAATTGATGTTATATAAGTACAATTATAACAAGACAGACAAGTCTGTTTATTTTTCTTTCCATACATCTTATAAATCTAAATAAAATTAAGATGGTTAATGATTAAGGTTATGACCTTAATCAAGGTCATAATCCTGACTTACTACCCATCTTATCTTCATCATACTTCTTTGAAGAATAGCCCAAAGTTTCTTTAGAATAGTTATATCGTGCTGAGTAACACTTCTTATGCTGCTTATAAATGGCAGCTTTTCTCCTTCTCAGTAGATACTTGCCAACTTCAAAATCTGTCTTACATTACTGAAAACTTCCAGCTTTCTGAAACATGCTTCCTGAACTGCTTCTCCACCTAAACAACAAGCATATTTATGCATCCTCTATTTCAGTTACTGATAATTTCCTAATATGTATACAGGTTTTAGGAACTTATCCTACTAAACCAATATATCTGACATGACAAAATTCCTGTCAGACAATCCTAACAGACAATCCAATTCACAGCAATGAGAGCATTAACTGAACACATTTAAGCAATAGGAAAAATTTAGTAGCAGTCACAGATGAGCTTCACAGAAGAAAAGACAGGTGCTTGGGTTTTAACAAAAGTGAAAGCAAAGTGCATTTGCAACCCTAAGCAAGAACTTTCTGTGTACATAATGTAGAGCTTAGAATTTGTGAATACGGGCTTTGATTAGGAAAAAGGCACTTCCTTGCATACTAGTGATAGGAATAGACAAAAGTTCATCACTGGCCTAAATAAGGTTCATTATGGACCCCGAAGCAAGGGTAGATTTAAAAACACTTCCAATCTTTGGAGACTTCTTACTAGACAGGTTGCAACTCTTGGAGCCCTGAGTGAAGCTAAATGGATGTACTGTCTGTACATCCACAGAGGATGTGACATCAAATGCTGCATCTACTGCTTTTGATTCCAAGTATTTAATACAAAGATAGAAGCAGCCTCTACACCAGAATTACCCAAGTATTTTTAATGTACATTTTAATCTTTCAAAATGGCACACAAACAGAACAAACACTACCTGTGCCTTCACAATGAATACTGCCATAATTTGGAAATCTGTATTTTTGAAATACAGGTAAAATTTAGATATAAAGAACAAACACTAATATACAATGAAGCTACCATAACTACCAGACCTACAAGAGCTTTAGGCAGATATTTGCCCCAGATAGTGTACTGCAAGAAAAACTTAATATTTGATTGAATCCATGTGACATTGCAAATATCCTATTGAACTTAAAAGCTGACAAGCTTGATATGGGCCTCAGAAACATTCCAGAACCTCTCCACTAAATCAATTACCAGCAAAAGCAATGTATGCCTAAATTGGATTTAAGAATCCTTGGGAGTCTCATGAAATTTACTTCATAGCTGAACGAAAAAAGGTTTCCATCACCCTCTTAAAAAAATTAGTGACAGAGTAAAATGACCAAATTTTACCATTTCCACATGACCTTAAAAAGATACATGCATAGAACATCACCTGAACAATTCTAAAATCAAAATAAAATACTTTAAAGACAACATTTTCTAAATAGTTGTGTACACCATAACAAAAGTATGGCTTTCAGCCACAAAGGCACTATGAGACACAGCTATGACTATTAACAACAGAGTCATATGGTACCCCAATCATTATGTGTGAAAGTAAGCCCAGAAACACTTCAGTGGCTGACTTTTATTGTAGAGTTAAAACTCCTTACCTTGAAAAGACTGTTTGGCTCTGTCCACCAGTTCTTCAATAGGGTAACTTGCTAGATCTCCTCTGGCATGCTTAGTTTTACAGTAGGTACATGCATTGAGACACCTGTTAAGAAAATGAAAATACTCAGTTTCTAACCAAGAAAGCCTTTATATGCAAAGCTGTATTTATTAAGTACTTCTGGAAAAATGAGTTCTTGTATCTATGAGCAGAAAATAGTAGTATTCTACTTTAAAATAAATGGAATCATTTGAAGAACATTTTGCTGTCCTAACTTCTTAAAATATCTTTCACATTTAAATGAAAGGTTGAAAAACAATCAGTGGGAACCACACATAAAACCCAAGAGTGGGAATTTTTTAGAAAGGTATAGTAGGATTAATAATTGTTCACTACTGAAGATGAATCTCCAGGTTTCTGACCCCTCTATTACATAAAAAATCTAATCCAAACACAAAAATACAGGAAAAAATTCCTGAAAGGCTGAAAGCAGATTTTTCAAAGTGTATGTTATTGAGAAGACATTTCAATTAGTTTTTCCTACTTTCCTATGGTTTGAATAAATAGAACAAGTAATGTAATCACCAACAGAATCCCCAAATAGAATGACAGGTTGGCACAAAAAATTGGGGAACTAATGAAAACTTCTACAAGAAAATGAAGGAATAACGTGATTGTTTTTAATTTACCTGAAAATATACTAAAGGCAGCCTAAGTTAGAGTATAAGGATGGAAAGACCAAAACAAACAACTACCTCTCATTGTAAGCTTTTTGTGCTTTTCTTCCCTTCTCCCCTTTTTAAAGCTGATATTGCTCTAGCTTTTTATAGATTAAAGCATTTAAGCCTAAGCTCTAAAAACCCCACAGACCCAAAAAACCTCATTATAAATACTGTTCATGCTTACTAGAATACCATAAGTTCTGTCCATTTTCATAATAAAAAGGCCGCAGCTTCATAAGGTCATAGAATTTTTAAGGCTGGAAAAGATCTCCAGGGTCATCAAGTCCAACGCAGGACTGAAAACCACCGCGTCAAATAAACCACAGCGCTAAGTGCCATGTTCATTTCTTGAACACTTCCAAGAATGGTGACTCTACCGCTTCCCAGGGCAGCCTGTTTCAATGCTTTACTCTTTCAGTAAAGAAGTTCTTCCTGATGTTCATGTTAAACTTCTCCTGCCACAGCCTGAGGCCATTTCCTCTTGTCCTGTTGCTGGTCGCCTGAGGGAAGAGACCCCCAGCTGGCTGCACCCTCCTTTCAGGCAGTTGTAGAGATTGAAAAGGCCCCCCCTGAGCCTCCTTTTCTCCAGGCTGAACACCCCCAGCTCCCTCAGCTGCTCCTCATCAGACTTGTGCCCCAGACCCTTCCCCAGCTCCACTGCCCTGCTCTGGACCCGCTCCAGCCCCTCAAAGTCTTCCTTGTGGTGAGGGGCCCAGAACTGAACACAGCACTCGAGGTGTGGCCTCACCAGTGCTGAGTTCATGGGGACAATCACAGCCCTGCTCCTGTTGGCCACACTGCTCCTGATACAGGCCAGGATGCCTTTGGCTTTCCTGGCCACCAGGGCACTGCTGGCTGATGTTCAGCCACTGTTGACCAGCACCCCCAGATGCCTTTCCACCAGACAGTGTTCTGTCCACTCTTCTCCCAGCCTGTAGCACTGCAAGGGGTTGTTGTGATCTAAGTGCAGGACTCAGAATTTGGCCTTTTTGAAATTCATACGGTTGATCTTGACTCATCAACCCAGCCTGCTCAGCTCCCTCTGCAGACCCTTTCTAGCCTCCAGTAGATCTACAACCCAGCTCAACTTTAGTGTCATCCGCAGACTTATTGAGGATTACTCATTCAGACCATCATTGAAGATACTAAACAGGATAAGAAAACCTTTGGGTGCCAGAACTGGCAAATGTTCCAACTACAGCATAGTTGGAACTAATACCACAGAACTTTCAAAACAATACTGAAAAGGCAGATAGTAATGGGTAAGTTCTGATGAAGTCACCAGCTACAAGACTGTGCTTACTATTTGGATATATATTGTATTCTATTACTATGACTGGCATCTCCATGACAATGTGATTATTGCTTTGCAAACTCCAAAGACTCCCCTCACAGGTTAGTTCTGCTTCATTTGCATAAGCAGGGGTTCAGGAAGGGCAGAATACTGCCCAGAACATCTGCTCAGGTGCCCTCCTGCCACTGCACATCCCTTCAGCCCTGAGACCTTCTCCATTCAACAGAATCTTAAGTTCTGCAAGAGAACATCTAGGTAGTTTGTGATTCTCTCTGCTAGACTGGATATGTATATTAGTTTTGTGCCTGTCAGACCAAAACATCAGATTTTAGCATCCACTTGAGATCAGAAAACTAAAATACACTGCTTAACAGCAGCAATCAGACTGCTCTATTAATTAGAAATGTGTATGAAAAAAGTTGCCAGTAAAATATCCAATTGGTTATTAAAAAAAAAAAAATCCCTACATCTGAATCTTTACATACTGTTCAAAATATGTGATTCTTTGCCACCAAAACACAACTTATTCATCACATGTATCTTACCTTTCTTCTGCAAATAAAAAGCCTTTCATTGCACAGGATCTGAAGCATGTGCTAAAGGTAGTACTTGAAATCAAGTAATTGATTGGTTTATAATTTGTCTGTGTAACCTATGCACCAAATGAAAATGCTTTTATTCTAGGTCTCTAAAGTTTGCCATGAATGGCTTTCCCACAAAGCCCATGGATGCTTCTTTCTCTCCATGCTGCCCTTACACGAAGCATGTCTCCTTCCTTTTTTTTCTTTTCTTGATTTTTATTTTGTTACTTTGTTTTTAAAGCACAACTCTCCATTCAACCCAGCACCTCATTTCTAGGCAGCCTCTCATCCTGACGTCCCACTGTCACACTCCTCTCTCTCCACATAATTAATTCAGCTAAACTAGCCTTTTTCCACACAGCTACACAGAGAAAAAGTATTACAGAACAGTCAAGGAAACATAAAATCAGTTTCAGAACGAGTATGTCTGCCCTTTTGGAACCAAAACACAAAAGGTGTATTATTATGTACTAGCCTTTGTACTATATTAACCTTTGTTTTCTCCAAGAAAATAAACTTACCAGCTATTTTGCCAAACTTCTCAGGTCAAGAAGAGATTTTACTACAATAATCCTGCCCCTTGAACAGCAGGTTACTTTAACACTGGCATTTTCACTAACAAAAGAGAATTCTGACAGCCATCAGTAACAAAGGGATGCATCAAGATATTTTTATCTTGGGATAAAGTAAATTTCTTGGACTCAAACTTAAGCTCAGATTAGAGGAAAAAAACCAAAAAACAACACCATACACAACAAAATCCAACAACAACTTTTACAATTTCCTTAAATTTGCAAATTCTGACTTAAGAGTTCCAACAAAAACTTTATCACAAATTTTTTGTTGCCTTGAACTGTAACCTTGAATAAAAACAATGTTTTTCGTAGATTTTCAGGTGTGTTAATTCATCCTAAGATTGATAAAAACTGTAATATTAGTAAGTTATTTAAACAAACTTCTAAACTTATTCCTGTATAATAGATCTAGATAGATCTAAAATCTAAACTGGTGTTGATGTACAGTAGAAAGGATATTTTATGCTATATACATAAAATTTTTCTGGTCCCTTATCATGTATAGTGCATCTATAAAATACACCATGTTACCTCTTTCTCTCTTCTCCTTATAAGTTAAGCATAAAACATATACATTCCTTACTATGTATTTTGCTCTGAAGTTGGGTAGCAGTATTTGCCAAATACTGAAATTATTACTCTCCAAATGTAATTTTCACATCTTCAATCAATGCTCTTGGTCCTATAAGACTGTGCTACCTGAAAAAAATGCAGTAACAGCAGCTCTTCTATGGTACTTCAGTCAACTCTGTCATGAAGGGAGCATGGAAATGTGAAGAAAGCAGCATGAATAAAAGAGGAAGGTATTTTCCAAATATTCACAGTATTATTACATTTGCCAAAACCTTCACAATATTATTTTCCAGATAATCACACTATTATGTGGTATCGTTTCCAAGACATTTATTACTATGGTCTTTAAGTACAGCTTCAGGGGGTTTGTTGATTTATTTTGGTGTAGGAGCTGAAAGCTGGAATCTGGAGGCAGACTTTTTTAAAGTTTTACTGTGGTAATTAAGTTATTCCTACTATAAAAAAGAAGTATTAGGTAGGCCTAAATAATTTTTCACCTTTTTTTGTACTTAAAGAGATTATATAACAAAACCAGAGACAAACTTAGATGTAACATAAAAAAGGATCAGTTTTAGAAAGCAAAGCAAAGGAGACAAAACTTCTATATCGTATTTGTTAATACCAACTTGGAAAAGGAAATAAACTGGGCTAAAGCTGACCAACAAAAGGGTGCAGATTCAAATTATTTGTAAAAATGCTGAACTAACCACTTTTCACAGATATAAGAATTACCAATTCTTGAAAATAGAAATTTAAACCAAACCATCAGTATAATTGAAGATCTGCAGTAGTTTCTTCCCTAGTAAGCCGGCCTCCGCTCCAAGTTTCCAGCATAACAAATTACTCATATGGCCAGGCTGCCACATACTCAGACCACAGACAATCAAGTGGAAAAAGGCTTTTGGGAACTCAGAGAATCTGAGCACTGCCTCTTACTAAGTGGCATCCACCACCAAGTGGATCACCTAAAACGAACATCTCCTTAAAAACCAGCCTTTACCACAGCTCTAGCTCAAATACATACGACTAAACAGCCAAGAAGCCAGTAGCTGCAAAAGAGTATTTGCTTTGTGTTAAACTGGGAGCCTTCTTCAAGCATTTATAGCTGGTTTGTAAATGTTAGTTTTTATTAATGCAGGTCAAAGCTTTTTTTTTTGCACAAAGAAATCACAGACATTTGTAGAAAACAGTAATTAATGATCATTGTGTTTGTAATTACCAATATGTTTTGGCTAAATTTTATAGCAATTCCAGAACAAAAAACACTGAGTTCTGGTTTTCCAACATACTAAATTGATTAAGGTACTTTGAATTATTAACCTTTTGCTTTGAATTATTAACCTTTAATCAGCTATGTGCT